GAAAAATTCATAAAACTTTTTATACTAAAATGTTTATTCAAAATCATAATTCAATACACCTCCCTAATATATATTATTTTCAAAAAAAAAAATATTTTTTATACTTCTGTCTCATTTAGACTCCTCAAATGGAATAGTCGTATCTCTATTTATGAATTTTGGCCTTGTCTTATTTATTTGTCTACAGAGCAACTAAAACATGTTTGTTCTCCTTAACCAAAAACAAAAGCTTGTTGTCTTTATTTCAAGTTTAAACTTCATTTCATTTAGACCTAGCCGACCCAACAAAAAACCTATTCCAATAATAAAAAATTCATAAAACTTTTTCATACTAAAATAGTTATTAATTAGAAATCATAATTCAATACACCTCCCTAATATATATTATTTTTTTAAAAAAAAATTACAAAATCATTTTTCTAGTTCTGTCTCATTTAGTCTCCTCTAATGGAATAGTCGTATATCTATTTATGGTCTTCAACCTTGTCTTATTTATTTGTTTATGGAACAACTAAAATAGGTTTGTTCTCCTTTATAAAAAATGAAAGTTTATTATCTTTATTTCAAATTCAAACTTCTTTTCATTTAGATATGATTAGCCTAACAAAAAAGTCAACTCTATCAGCCAAAAAAAGATCAAATAATTTTTTATTGAAATCATTTTTGCTTACCAAAAATGTAAAATATATTCATATTAACCTCATTCGAAAATTGGATATTTATAGTTAATAGTCAATTTTATAAGCTGTCTCATTGAAATAATATATTTTAAATCGATAAAAATATATAACAAAGATAAACTAGTTTGTATGTAAAAAAAGAAAATGCTACGACTCACGATGAATTAGATGTAGTGACAAGTCAATTTTTTTTTTTGAGAAATAGATAAAAGTTAAATCTTAGAAAAATAACATTTAAGAAGAAAGTATAACGAATAAATAATCGATTTCACTCATAAAATATATTATTATTTTATCGAATAGTTTTAAAAACGATAAAATTATATAAGTAGTTTTAAAATTATTAGCCTCTGAATTGTTAAATCTTATTATTATATTGAAAAAATTAATTTTTTTTAATACTTAAAGAGTTTATAGCATAATTTTTAAGATTTAGAAACTACTTACTTACTTTCCTTTGATTATGAATATAAGTAATAAAAATTTCATATTTATTTATCTCAAATATAAACAGATATCAACCAATGTCATTTTATTTAATGTTATCATCTTTAAAATACTCTTTTATTTAGTTTATATTGTGTTTTAACATTTCTTTTTATTCTTGATATTTAGTTTCAAAGAAGGATAATTTAGAAAAATAAATTATTTTGTAGATAGGTTAACAATATTAAATAATATGAATAACTTTTTAATTAGTGTAAAATTGATTTTTTGTATTATGAGAATGAGAAGAGTATATAATTTTAAGTATTATTTAAAAGAAAAAGTAATGATTTATTGACCAAATCGATAGTTTATTTAAAAGTATAATAATTGCTGTAAAATAATATATAATAATACCACTTCTAATTTGAAGGAGTCTACAATGATTGTAAAAATTGTCGAAAAGCAAGAAAGGAGATGATTCAAATTAACACCAAAAGTAAATGCAGGTATGTCTAGTATATTAATACTACGTTACGTCAGAGAATATTTTATTAAGATACATAATGGATTGATGAGGGTGGAATTCCATTGCGTTACTATCGTATCAACAAAATTCATTATGACCCTTAAAAACAAATCCTATGACGATACCTTGTGCGACATCTGAAAACTTCATAATTGATAATTTGACCAACTTTATGCTGAATTTAACACAAAAAAAAAAAAAAAATTTGTTAACATGTCAAGAAAATATTAGAAGTTACTCGTAAATCTCACTATCAAATTTACAATTTAAATTATTAAGTTATTTATCCTTTTTAAGTTATAATATGGACATAAATATATATAACGATTATTATACAAGATAATTATTTTTAAAAATTATTATTTATTTTAAATTTAATTTAAACTACTAAATAATAAATCTTATATTATAAAAAAGTAAATAAATTATATAATTTATTATTGGTTCAAATATTATTTTAGTCCCTATAAAATGAGCATGCTTTAATTTTGGTTATTGCAAAAAAATTTCTTTGCTTTTTATTTCTATAAAACTTATAACTATTGTTTTAATTCCTACTATTATGTTATCTTTTTTTAACACATTATTGGTTCATTTTTAAGGTCGTGGTCATTCTGGATGGTATTCACATCTATATGTAGTATTTTATTTACATGTGACACTTCTTAATTTTTTTTAATAGTCTTTAAAACATGTGTTATATATACTTTAAAATGGTCATTAGGACTAAAATGAGTGACTTTAGATTATAGAGGGATATCAATTATAAAAAAAAAAATGCTTTACAGGTGTCAAATTCAAAATTTTGTTCATTTTACAAGACCAAAAGCTGTTTACAAAATTTATAAGAATGAAAAATAAAAAAAAAATTATAGAAACCAAAATCAAAACTTACTAAGTTTTGTAAGGTCTAAAATCATATTTGAACCTTTATTATCTAATATAGTTTTTATACAATTAATTTAAATGCACAATCACTTTTTTTATAACAATGATTTTCTCATTTTTTTTAACACATTAGTAACAAATTTAAATATACAAGCACTTGCTTGAAATTGGTTTAACGTTGGACGCCATGAAGGGTCCCCAAGTGCAGGGGCAACAAAAAGCATAAACTACTCCTTATGGCTCGTACATCAAGCATGAAATGGTCCATGTTGGGCATGAGAGCTCTAGGGACTCCCTAGGGCAAATTCGTTGGACATGATGTAGTCATGTCGAGCGAGAGACTTCCACAAAGAAATGCATGCTCTTTATGTGACTTGTGTTGGACACATGGGACCCTTTCTTCAAGCTCCATCCTGCATGTGAAAAGGTACTTATATTATATAATGTGATGGTGTTTTTAGAGGTGTCTAACTAAGGGGATGATCTTTGTTAAGAAGGATAATAAGATGATGACTAAGTGATGAATTATATACGTAATTTAAGAGTATATATTGACTATTGATTAACAATGATGTATGTTGTGTACATGTATGGACCATGTGATGGTCATGCGCCTTGAAGTTTAAGTTAAGGTTTAACCGAGATAAAGTATGAGCATGATTGCCTAGCAGTGATGTGAATAAGATAAGAGATGTACTTGTGATGGTGTTATAACATGAAATATATATTGAGTCCTATGTGACACACATCATGAATATAATGGTTTTGTGTAAAGGGTACAATACAAAATACATTGGTAGGGAAGGTCCCTTGTGTAAGCATAGGGATTTGAGATCCCCAATTTTTCCTATTTGTGTGCATGAAGTGTAACTTGTATGACACCATTATCAAGATGTGCGCTAGTATATCCTCTCCTATAGTGTAGAGTGTTGTCGTGACTTGGCATATTCTGCCAAGCTACTTTATGCATTCCTTCGAACAAGGTTAACGTGTTTTACTGGTACGTGGCACCACATGCATGTAAACTAATAAAGTTCGTGTCCATAACATTTGTGTGAATCTTGCACTTGTTGATATTTTGAGTTATTTTAAGTTATATTTGTTGTTAAGATTGTTTATTAATATATGTTATGTTGATGTTGTGTGGCTATCTAGATCTCACACTAGTAACAAGAGTGAAATATTTCTCACTCCCCTTTCATTTGTTCTTGTGTTCTTGTGTGTTTTGCAGGTGAAGATCATCTTGACGATGATGTTAGAGACGAGGCTAAGGCCTTATGTAATGGTCATGTGTTGAGATCTAATAGAATGTGACATCGTGAGTTTTAGTTTATGATTTCATGTATTCATTAATCTTTGTCATGTTTAGGACTGATTTTTGTTTCTTTATTTTGTAATGACTCTATTAAACACTTGTTTAATATTTCTTTAATTATGATTTATGTTCTACAAATGTGATTTCCTCTATTCTAGAAGTTTTGCAAATTTTTTTTATATTCATTAAAGTTATTTTCGAACTCTTTTATTATCTCTTCCATAGTTTATGAGTGTGTTAGTATGTGGAGCAGTAGGTGTCACACGTACATTTTTGCATGAAAAGTGTTGTGAACAATTGTAGAGCTTCGTAAGTCATTGTTATGTTACACTTTCTCTGAACAATACCAACATGATGAACAATAATCACAACCATAGAGCTTTTGCTTGTGTCTCTGCTATGTCTCCAATTGACGATGTGTTATCACTTTCAGGAAGGGGAGTCTCTAGCAACTTGTTTTGTCTAAGAATCGACGTTCTTTATCGCTTCATGTGTTGTCATACTTTGATGTGTAATGTGCATAGGCCCAACACAAACATGTGTCTTTGCATGTTTTTATTACTAAGTACATTGACCTCTTTTAGGTTGTACCAACTAAGATCACCAAATCTAATTACCAATTAACAAATATATTCACCAAATCCCTCAAGGACTCCCAAATTGATGACATTTATAACAAATTTGACTCATATGATATATATGTTCCAACTTGTGGGAAAGTGCTAAATATATAATTTGATATATTGATTCCTTTATAATTAGAGAAATTTATATAATAAAAATTAAGAATTCTACTTATTTTTACTTGTTATCCTTTATTTCCATATTTCCTTATTCATATCCTTATTCACACTCTACAATTCTTATATATAAACAAGCCCAGAATTATATAGGTCAAACATTCATTTTACACCATCTTAGAGTGCAAAAATAACAAACAAATGACGATCATTATATTATTATTTTGATGGCTAATTGATGAGAAGGTACAAGTCATTAAAATCTAAAACTTTGAGAACATAATTTCTGGATAAAAAATAAGAACAAAAATCCAATTAAACCTAACTCAAAAAGCTAAACCACAATTAGTGTAATTTAACCCCTAATTCCTAACCTAAAGAGTTGAGACCGATGGCACAAAATAAGCTTAAACTCAAAAAGCTAAACCACTTAAACTTGTAGTAGATATATCTTAGAATCCGGACTCAATTGGCCAAATTACAAGGACAATCTAACAGAAATCAACCTTAACAGTACATACTTATAAAAAAGAAAAACGAAATCCCAAAACAACCAAATCTGTACATCCAATATATCATTTCATCCACCAATACCATCACCAAACAAACAGAAGGTAGCAAAACGCGATTAATCGCGCAAAACAAGACATAAAGAAAAACAATTCTGACAAATTTAAAACCTGATTCTCTCACTAACTAACTAATCTCCCCTCACCACACCAGCTCCCAGCTTAAAGAGTCGGGGTGGTGAATTTACGAGAATCCACAGCGTTGGTTCCAAAATCATGCTTGCTTTTCCCCACAGCGTAGCTCCGACTCCTGGGATACGGGTCGGTGACAATAGCAACGCCCCCATCAGCGTCGTACGGCGTATCCTCGTCAATCCTCGCCATCCCGACACTGCTGGACTTGTGCAACCCTTCGGAAGTACCATGTTGTTGTCGCTGTTGCTGTTTGACCACCAAATCCACGTCGATTCGGTTCACCAGGGTCCTCGCCGACGCCGCCCTCAGAAGCTCGGCGTAGTCGTCGCCGCCGATCTCCGACGACGTCGTGGCGGTGGCCACGCTGTAGCTCCTGGAGAACCTTCCGGCGCCTTCCAAGGGGTCCCCGTAACTAATGTTGTTGCCGCAGTTTGTTATGCTTCGCACGTACATGTCCTTGGCTTTTCCCAGCGCTCGCAGCGGCGACGCCGCGATTCTCACCAAGACGTTCCCGCTCTGGCCCTTGCTCCTCATGATGGAAAATTAAGTTGATCGGAGAGGTTGTGTGTGAAGTGGTTATGGATTGAAGTGAATTCTGTGGGGGGTTTATAACTTTATATACATGGTTGGAAGAAAATGATTGTGTTGGTTTGTGAGAGAGAGAGAGAGAGAGAGAGAATGGAAACTGTGAACAGCAGAAGCATGTGGACTTTTTCGTAGCACACCGGATTGACAAAACCAATTAATTATTGAGGATAAGAACGAAACCGTGGAATGGAATGCCTAACTTACATGCTACCGGTTTAAAACTATGTTGAACCCAAAAACATGTTTTTATGAAAAAATAAAATAAAATTGTGCGCGTGATTTTTTTTTTTTTTCAACACACCCCATGCAATTATTCTTTATGTTTATGTAAAAAAAACTGATTTACACTAATTCAAAAAATTAAATTTGGTTAATTTCATCTTAAAAAAATAGCTTATTTTCTTAAAATATTTATCTTTGAAACTTGATGTCATAAATAAAAGAGAATATTAGATATATGATCTCTATTAAACTAGAGGTATTAAGAGATACTAACATTAGATAAAATGAAATTAATTAATATTTACTTATATTTGAGTATCATGAGTTTTTTTTTTCTTATCATAATTAGAGGAAATAAATAATTCATCAAAATTAATAAAGATAATTGAGGTAGTTAATTTTTTAGATTAAATTATATTTTAGTTATTTATCTTATTTTTATATTTATTTTAGTTTTTTATTTGATAAAATATTTATTTTAGTCATTTATCTTTTATATTTGAATCAATTTAATCTTTTTAGTATAATAATCATTTTCAATTTTACAACATGACTTTAAATCAATTTTTAACTGATTTAAGACATAAAATTTATAATATTATATTTATTATATAAAAAATTATAAAATATAATTGATGTTTGGATCTAAAAGAACTATAAGCATATTGAAAAAATATGTGAAAAATATATTTGATGAACAATTAAAAAATAATAAGAATTAAATTTTTAGAAAATTTTAATTTTATTGTATTTATAACATGTTTGGGTTAAACATTAATTACATTCTATAATTTTATATGAGTGAATCTTTTAAAATGAATTTTAAGTCTTGAATTAGTAAAAAAAATATTTTAAAAGGATTAAATTGACTTAAGTTTAGAAAATAAAGAATCAAAATAAACATTTAAAAATAAATAAAATTTAAAATAAAAGATAAAAATCTAATTTAGCCTAATTTTTATTAATAATATTTTAAAATTAAATTTTATTTCAATAATATCTTTTAAATTAAACAATTTAAATAATAGTTGTATTTAATGAGATTATACTTAATTCAAGAGATGATATTTTTCTCATATAACTCTTATTATTTGTAGATTAATAAATATATTTATTTGTATAAGAAAATATTAGATTTTTATTAATTTTATTTGTACAAATTATTTATTAATTTTGTTTATGAATAATTTTTATTAAAAAATTTGACCGACTAACTTTAATAAATGCTAGTATTTTTCTTATTTATAAGGCTTGAATATAATACTTTTTTTAATTTAATACTTCATACAATGAAGTCGCGATGAATTCTATTCTGACTTGTCACTACAAAAAAAAAAGTAGATAAGCATCCTTTATATTTGACCTCTCAAGGGTTCCATTTCAAATGTCACTCATCTCTATATTACTCCAAGTGAAACACGCTTAATTGTAGATTTTTGATGAGACAAACTACCGAAAAGTAGTTGTATGTTGTTAGTATAGGTAGTACAAAACTCCAAGCGTGTGGTTCAGCGGTAGGGGTTGATCCACCCTTAAGTAAGGTCAGGGGTTCAAATCCTGCCTTGTGTTAGTATGTCATTTAAGTCATATTATAATAATATATATAATAATTATATAACCAATAATAATTATATTATATTTAATTAATCTTTATTTGTATATATACTTACTTTTATAATTAACAATCTACTTATTTCTATTTAAAATTAATATTATGATACAATTTTAATTAATTATTATAAATTTAAAAGTTTAAATAATAATTTATATATTCTAATTATCAATCATTAATAAAATACTAATTTTAACATTTTAAATAAATTATTAATTAACTTAATATATTTATTTATCTTAAATCTAAGATATAAAATTCAAAAAATGTATTTATCCTTATTTTATTTTCTAATTATCAACCATTAATAAAATAATAATTTAAAATCTTATCTAATTATTTCATAATATTTTTATATCAAATTATTAAACCCTAAATCAGATATTAATTATACAAAAGTATCAAGATCATATAATAAATTGTCAATAAGATTCTAGTTAAATAATTTAAAATAATTAATTTTTCAACTATATTATTAGTAAATAATTTATTCCAAAGCTAATCAAAATTTTTTCTATATTAATTATTAGTAAAATTTAATAACTTTTAATTTAACAGTTAAATCGATAAAATTCAACATACACTATATATGAGTTATTGAGTAGAGTAACTTTACCAAGAATTGAATCGATAAATTTCATCAGAAATATAAATTTTTCGATAAATTTATATCCGTTGAAAATTATGTATCGGTAAGTACATTTTTTTTGTAGTATATAGCATTTGTTAGTTTAATGAATTGAGTGGTCAAATATTTAATAAATGTAATTAATTATTTTAGATATAAGCTTTAATAAAAGGATCCGATTTTTTTTTTCTTCCATAAAACACTTTTTTGTGTGAGACAATTTCTTTAAATTAGGTAAAACTGAAATGATGAAGATTTTTTTTTAACTATTTGCATTTTTTTTAATAAATTTACAATGATAATAATTCGACCTAAGACCCTTCCATGTAACTCGACTTGAATTTAGAAGACATAGACTATTTTATATTTAAACAGGGTTTTGTCTAAGTCCATCTAATTGTACAATTATAAATAGAAATAATAATTATATATATTATAAAAAATTAAAATTAAATAAAAATTATGTAAAATATTAATAACATACTTTATTAAATGCATGGAATATTAATTATATAAAATAACCATTATATATTACATATTAATTATACAAATAATATTAATTATTAATAACTATAGTAAAAATCTTCTTATATGATATATTCTTTATAGAATAAATCATAAAAATAAATTAAGATTTAAAATTAAATAAATAAAGTCAACCTTCAATATATTTTTTATTATAGAAAATATTGATTATACAATAAAAGATGTATGTACCGAACAATCAGTTGAATTTGATTTTTTATTTTTATTTTCAGAGATCATTTAGGTTAAATTATAATTTGATCTTTTATCTTAATTTTAAGATTTATTTTATTATTATTATTTTTTTAAAATATTTATTTTGATTATTTATTTTTTAAAACTTTGATCAATTTAGTAAGAATGATTATTTTTAATTATGAAATAGAATTTCATTTTTTTTAATTAATTCAAGGCATAAAATACCATATACATAAAATATTTGATCTTTGTTCCTAGACTTTAAATGAAAAAAGTAATTATTATTATATTGAAAATCTAAAATAATGCTTATTTGGAGGTTTACTTTTATTTTTTTATTTATATGACACGTAATATATGAGAAGAAGAAGAAAGTAAAATATGTTTATTGAAAAATGTAAAAATACACCATCTTTTAAATTTAATGATTTTCAATAAAAGAAATCTTCTATATTTTAATTCCTTTACCAGTACTCTAAAAACACCTTATAGCATATTCTTAATTTATTTTTTGACACCAATCATATTCATAATTTTAAGTCCCAAATTTATAAGAATAAAGAAGCATATTTATTTTAATCTATTACAAACCGATGGAAAACATGATGCCTAATAATAAGAAGTTAATGCAACATAAAAATATGCTAAATGTAGTTCTATAGACATTTTAAGTGTTGTTTCTCAATCAAAATATTACGTTGATATCTAATGAAGTATTTTATTATGCGGATTATCAAGATAACACTCTAATTTTAATGGGATAATAATATTAAAAATACTTATAAAATTATATTTAAATTTTATCCTTTCAAATATCATATAATTTTATTATTTAAGTGTTTATCATGCACTCCTTTCTACTTAATTGGATATTATAAAAGTAAATGATAGTCCAATTGTAATATATTCAAATTATTAGAGATTGAATTTTAATTTTTTTATTAAGAAACACAAGTGTTTAACCACTTGTGCTAACCACCTTTGGTTGTATGATATGTATATGTTTTTAAAAATTAAATTTATTTATTTTAATTTTACTTATTTATTTTATAATTAATATTTTTATATGATTAATTTGCTTATATAAGTATATTATTCAAGTTTATTCATTTATTTTATGTATATGGTATTTTTGTCCTTTTTCTCTAATATTTGCAAAAATGAAAATAGGTGCATAACATATATTTTTTGGTATTATAACATCAATTATATCCAACTTCCTTTGGATGTATAACAAATCTAGTGTCGTGGACAAATGCAAAATGACTTAAATATAAAGTTTAGTATTTTTAGTTATCCTATAGTCTATATTTATTAATTATCTTTTTTTTTTCAAAATTAGTAAACAGAAATTCCACCTTGAAAGTTATGTTGCATGTATACTATATGAGATTGTCGTATTCTTGAATCTGATGTTCCTTAAAAGTAGACACGTCGTAGAACCTCGGACATTTTGATAGACCATGTCTATATAAATTGGATATGTCTCAATCATGAACACTTACAAAATTGATGTGTGTTTCATTGCGAACACATGCATAACTAATATGTTTCCATTGTCATAGATATCTGCAAATGAAGACGTCTCTATCTTGATGTATTATTCGATATGTGAATTTGAGATTATTTTTTAAGAAAGAATAAATCTCGATAAAAATAAAAATAAAGAAGAGATGATTTAATTTTTTTTAAAAAAATAATAAATCTCAATAAAAGAAATGGAGAATTTGAGATTTTAAATTTTTTTTGATAAAAATAAAAACAAAGAATATAAGGTTTAAGATTTTTTTTAAAATTTTTTTTTAATAAAAATACAAATGAAAAAAAATTGGTCTATCTTTTCTTATTTAACTTTCACATAATAAAAAACATCTTAATAAAAATAAAAATAATAAAGGAGAAATTCAAAATTTTAAAAAATTATTATGATATATAATATTTTTAATATTTTTTTAAGAATTAATATATTAT